ACCCCTGGGGGGTGTTTCAATAGCATCAGCTACTAACGCACCATATTCCTTCCCTATTCAACCAAGGTTACATACCTAACAGGGACATTCTCAAAAGATTTTATACAACTCAGCAATGTATCCATCTGTACCAGGGGTATTGCTAGCTTTTAATCTCTTTATTTATGCATTTATTTCCATTTAATTATTAACTATTTTTATTAGCTATTTTACTGATTAGTTCAGTTAGTTCTTGATTGTTCATACAAAAAAGGCCAAGGAGACTTACCAATTGTTCCTGGTTCTTCATCTGGTCAGCTGCTTGTTTGACCAGTGCTGCTCTGGCCTCCTCGGCTTCCAGTTTCTCTTTCTCCAGCCTCTCTGCCTCCTCCTTTGCTTTTCTCCGCTCCTGTTCAAGCTCTAGAGCTCTGCGTGTTTGCTCCTCCAGCTCTACACAAACACAGACACACATGGAGTATAACATGTATTGGTTATATTAATCAGAATGTAGCAGAAAGTAGCATTATTTTACTTCCTGATGTAGAAGTTGGAGAATTAAGGGAGGTGCCCTTGATTCTCTAACATCTACATCAGAACACTGATCAGGAAGGCAAATTCTATGAGGGCAACTTCAGCAGGCAACCACATGAGACATCGTAAATACTGGCATAATACTACAAAATGCCTGTGTAGCTGGAGATTGTTTTTCGATCCCTCAGATCTTTCCTATATGCCAAACACAGACAAATCAGGAACCCAAAAACTGCAACAAATATAGCAAATGGGAAACATGGGAACTCAGGAGGAGGATGCAAAAGGAAACAAATCTTTTTTTTAAGGGACTTCAAAGTGTTTTTACTGGTTTAAGAAAATTACCTTATTTTAAAATTACGAAAATTATCAGCCCTACGAGAGGCGAGAGATTTAGGTTTAGTTAGTGTAACACTCCACTAATGTGGAGAAAGTCATTTAGCCTCTGACATCACATATTTTTTATAGCTGCTTTTTTATAGCTGCATTTTTTTAAATTATTTTATAATGTTCTGAGGTTCACTTATAATGTTAGTGTGATTTTACATAAAAAACATCATAATTTAGAAGTAACACTATTTTCTATCCTGTTTTTGAGCCTCTCTGCAGAACGGTCTGTCTTTATAGGTGGGGTGCATTCAAGACTCGCAAGTAAACGCCCACTGCTATGATTGGCTAACGGTTTCGCTTATTAAAATAACAGATGGACGCTGCTGTGACGTACTCTGAAAACAACATGGGTCATCTGGGTTAAAAACGTACAAATACTCAGTATATATCAAATGGTCTTATTACATTTGAAATATGGATATTTTTCTTACAAAAACGCATGGATTCACTACAGAAGGCCTTTATTCACCCCCCGGAGCTGTGTGAAGCATGTTTTATGACGACTTGTGGACTGTTCAACTGCAACACCCGCTGACTGCAATGATAGAGCTTGGAATAGCCAGGACAATTTTCAATATAACTCCGACTGGATTCGTCTGAAAGAAGAAAATCATATACACCTAGGATGCTTCGAGGGTGAGTAAAAAAACAAGCCAATTTTCATTTTTAGGCGAACTAACCCTCTGAAGTCCAGATGTTTGTACCTTTCTGTGCTTTTATCGTCTGTTCTTCAATCTGTCTCAGTCTCTCGATTAACTCATCCTTTTCTCGCTCTATTCTCTCCTTCTCCTTTTCTGCATGCTTTCGTTTCTTCTTCTCATTCTCAAGCTGAGCTCTGATGGAGACAGAGTAAATTTGATTTGTGCAGCAACACCTCAAAGTTCCATTTGTCTGATGCCCAGAGTCATCACTTCCAAGAAAACAGAACTAGAAAAAAAGTTGCATAAAATTAAAAGTCCACGTAACTTAAAAAAATTCAAGTAGACTAAGATTCTAAAGCTCAATTAATATAGATTACTTTTACGATGTCCTCATTCACTTTTTGAAGCTTGAAATTTATGGTTGCATGGACTTTCAATGGCTAGACAGAATACTACTATGTAAACTAAGTATAAATAAAAATGTATTGAAAAGAATGTTTATGTAAATTATGTCATGTAAAGTGTTCATTGTCACCTCTCTATCTGTTTCTGGTGTTTTTCTTCTCTGGCCTGAGCCTTCATCTGCTGCACCTCAATGGTGTCAGGCTTCCTCCTCCTCATGTACAGCTCATGGTTGCCCATACACAGAGCCAGGATGCGCCTGTTGATTCGCAGTCGTGGTGCATAGAACATAAAGTCCTGCCATCACAATTGAAAAGATTCAGTGAACATGTTCATATTTGATCTCTGCATGCTATGACTGATATTACTGATTTGGCTGATATGACTGATACTTGTTCTCCATATGTACAAAGTTTTGAGAAGTTTGGACTTCAAAAGACTTTGTGGCCACAAATGATTTAGGCATATTTGTCATAATGGGCAAGTCCCAACAAATATGCCATATTGTATCTGCTAAATTTAATGGATTAAATTATTTTGACAAATTGAACGGTTTTTGTTCTTCAGAAAAAAACAAAAATGAAATATACATGTGTTAAGGTTTAAAGCAAGTGTTCTGTACAAAAAAAGACGTTTGACACTATCACTTATGGTTGTTTAGTTATTAGCAAAGTTGCTTATTATAGTGACACCTTGAGAACTTGTTACAAAAAATGTGTACTCGTTTTCACAATGTACGAATGTGTCAATAATTATAATGGTATGCTATTCGGATTTGACATTCTTAGTCACTGAACTTTGATTGGCTGCTGAGTCACATTACAGAACATATCAGGACGTCCAACAAAGAAAATTCATACCAATTTACAACTGTATGGTTACGGCATTATTATAGATATTCGTTTGTAAACACCATATCAATGACTTACCCCAAAATTATGTGAATGTAAACATGGTCCAAATTGAAAAACTTCTGTAGTTCAAACTGACAGAATAATCATAAATAGTAATCAAAATACTTACGGGTGCTTTTTTATCAATGGGCTTGATGACAAACTTCTTATCGTTGAAAGAAATATTTCGGATCTCACTCCAAGGGAAACCAATCTTTGGTGTGAGCCTTAAAGAAAAACAAAGAGAGGGATGAACAAGATTAAAAATACCTTTATCCACATTATTCAGAAAGTCATGTCAAAAACAGCCAGCAGTGGGAAGCAGAGGAAAACACTTAGTTCATGTGCTGACAGACCATCAAATCAGCTGAGCTCTTAGAACCTAATATTAAAGTATTTTTGGGAGTTGACTGCCATGAGCACTATGACCCCATAGGGGTGGGGGTGGGGGTCGCATTCTGCAGGGGCAATTGCGTGGGTTGCGCGGTACCTAAACATGCTACTGGAAATGGTCCCACTGTGAATAGAACTCAAGGCTATGCTTCTCTTCACCCAGGGGCAAAAGGCCAAAACACCACATGCTGTGACTCACCCTGTTCTAATGTCTGCCCTATAAGGCAGGGAATGGATGGGTGCTGAAGCAGGAGGGAGAGGTCAACTCTAATAATGCAAATAATACTCACAAGATAATATACACAAGCTTCCGTGTTTACCATAAGCATTGTGTGTCAGTTATTGCTTAGATGTAAAAGCTTAAATTTATAACCCTTTTAGATTTTTTAAGTTTTGCTTGCCTGAACTTTCAGCTCAAGGGAGAAACCTCTCAGGTTTAATTAAAAATCTATTAATTATTGTCATACGGAACAAAATTAGGGTAAATTTTGACAATATTAGTTTTTAAATGAACTACCCCTTTAATAAATTCTTCCAGGGGAAAACAAATAATTGAAAATTTTTTTAGAAATTAAATTTTCAAAAGTGACAGTAAATATTTTTACATTGTTACAAAAAAAAATATTTCAATTAAATGCTATTATTTTAAATTCATCAAAGAATCTTGAATAAAATGCATCATGGCTTCCACAAAATATAAAGCAGCACAACTCTTTTCAACATTGATAACTATAAGAAAAGTTTATTGAACAGCAAATCACCATATCAGAATGATTTCTAAAGGATCACTGAAGACTCAAGTAATGAGTCTTCAGTGATCCTAAATTCAGCTTTACATAACACTAATAAATCATATTTTAAAATATATTCAAATAGAAAACAGTTATTTTAAATTGGAAAAATATTTCACTTTTTTTTATCAAATCAATGGAGCCTTGGTGAGCATGACAGACTTTTGAAAAATCTTTAAAAAAAAATCTTACAAACCCTCTACTGTATGGTTACTATTTCTGGTGGATTTTTGGAAGCGTTAATTCATACCTTCTAATATTGCCCACAATGCCTTGCATAATCAAGGAGGAGTTCATGAAACTTACTTTCAAATTTGTGAGCCGAAAAAAGAAATGAACATTTTAATAAAACAGTTCATCTAAATAAATGATTCAGTGATCAAATAAACGATTCACTGATTCATTTTTAACTGTTGTATCTTCTTTTCTTTTCTTTTTAATATTTAGTTTACTGTTTGTCAATATGTTTTCAATGTTATATAAATGACTTTTCTATTTGTATGAGTTATACCTATTGTTAAATTAAGTTCAATTTAATGCTGCCTTAATTTGCTTAATGCTTAATTTCTCTGAATTCCAGTGTAATCTGCTGTTAAACTGCTGGAGTTTTAGTCTTGATTGACTGGCAGGCTCAGAAGGAGCCCGGGGCCTAGCGGGCCACAGGGCAATAGTGCATGATAATATACAGAACAGAAACACACAGGTGATTCAGTGATCAAATAAACGATTCACTGACTCATTTTTAAATGTTGTTTCTTCTTTTTTGAATATTTAGTTTGCTGTTTGTCAGTATGTTTTCAATGTTATATAAATGACTTTTCTATTTGTATGAGTTATACCTATTGTTAAATTAAGTTCAATTTAATGCTGCCTTAATTTGCTTAATGCTTAATTTCTCTGAATTCCAGTGTAATCTGCTGTTAAACTGCTGGAGTTTTAGTCTTGATTGACTGGCAGGCTCAGAAGGAGCCCGGGGCCTAGCGGGCCACAGGGCAATAGTGCATGATAATATACAGAACAGAAACACACAGGAGTCAAGCAGAACCCAAACACACATCCTGTCTCCTGCAGGACTCCCAGGTGCTGCGGAGGATCACATTTCCATGTTCAGTCCCCAGAACGCTGCCAGTCAACGTGCCGAGAACTCGGAGCGAAAGACCGTCTGTGTGTTTGAGGGTGATACAGCACATATGGCCCAAATGATCTGGCAACTCTATTTATTACACACAAGAAGTTAAATTGAGCTTTATGAAGAGTGTGTGAACATACAGCTCTGGCAGCGGCCAACCACCGTGATGTTTCGCAGGCCTGAACCAGTGTGTATGTGTGCCTGGAATTTCTATGTAACGTAGTTAGTGGCCATTTCTCTTCCACGCACACTGAATCGAGCTCTGTCAACTGGTTTAAAAAAATGAAGTTTTCCACATCTTGATTACTGCCATCTTCAATCACATCTCATTGGACAGCCATAAGGGAAGTCGCATTTTAATTAGTCATATTAATTAATACAGCTGTTAGAGTCTCGGTCCAGTTCCCATTACCATCAAATCATTTCACATGCCCAAACTAGAGTTCACACAACATTGAGTTGTACTTCTCATTTTATATTTATTTTTGTTTGTTTTTATCTCACTTTCCAGGTGTAATTGATTCAAATTCGTTCCAAACTCACATGAGAATTTACTTAAATCTTATTATCGTTTGTAGCCAGATGAGTTTCATTAATTTATAAACATCTCTCTAGAGTTTTGGTCCCATGAGCTCTAATGCAATAAAGCATCTTTAACTACCATCTGCTCTGAATTATGCTCTAATTACCTAATAACCTACAACATAAATGAACACAGTGCAATTTTGTAATGTTTTAATGTAGCACCTGCATATTAATGTCAGCTCAACTTGCTATCTAGATACCGACAGCTGTAAATGTCTGAATCTCTACTAGAAAAAGCACTGTTGCTTTAGTCGATGACGCCGGGTTTTATTGTGAATGAATGATGCTGTTTTCATAACCGAGACAGATCTTCAGCATTTACCGCAGATAATTCAGAGCGTACGTTCACCCCATCACTTTATTACACACTTTATTAAAGCACTCTGACCAGAGATGAGAGGCTGCAAAATCCACACCATTATTTTTCTTAATGCCTGCGATCTATCTCTGTGCATTAATGCACCCGCAGAGGATTCCACCGAGTTTGTGTGTACAGTAATTGTGCAATGGTAAGCTTGATACATTCAAAAAAATAAATGAATTAAAATATAAAATGCTAAATTATATATATATATATATCATCTGCAAACAGACAGCCAGTCAGAGACATACTGTACGTGTGTGTGTGCACGAGGTTAGATTAAAAATATTATATTGCATTATCATTCCTAATAAGATAATAACGATCTTACTTTTGTTTAAAAGGGGAATGTTTCAATTTATTTAACGTCAAAGCATTTTAATGCTTGACTGTGTTATTTTTAGTCAGTTCATTCCATTTTATTTTTCTATCTGTTGGTGTAAAAGGTGATTGTAATTTTGCACCCTGTTTTGTCCCACTTCTCAAGAATGACTGGGTGGATAAAAAAAGAGATGGAAGCAGAGATGTTATGATTGATGGCTTCAGTAATTCAGCGTCCCTTCTCCACCACATCGTCAACAACGAGTGTCTGAGTGTTTGTGGATGTCAAGTAAAGACAAGGTCTGGTGGCCACGAACTAAGACCTCTGCGAGAAGAGGCTCTAAGCGAGATTTTGGGAAAGAATGAGAGCAACAGCCCTGGTCCTGTTGGGTTATTTCTTGGTAGGCTAATTTTTCATTTTTATTTAGGACACTCGTTTTGTTTGCACTCCTGGTACGTTTTCCAACCTCATAATCCTGGTCCATTGTCCCACTCTTTGTCCCCACAATTCTTGTTTTTGGTTTTCTTTTATTCATGATGAACAATGGAATCTTTATATGGAGATACCATACTCAGCACAGTTTGCTCTATTATTTTCCTGATGCAACCATTGTTTACGGCATAATATGGAACGGAAAACAGGGAACAAGGGAATGGGAGATGTGAAAGAAAGGGAGGATTTCATTCAGTAGAATAAAACAAAGAAAAATAACTGTCATCCTTTTGTCCTCCTCCTTTAAAACACCTCAGTCTGCACCCGTAGCCCATCTGTCCATTTCTTTCCCTCTATGGACTATGATATGACATAACTTCATTCTCTCAATAGATTGACAGTAATTTCCTTTTCAATTTGTTGTGGTTCGAGGCAGTAATGATAACTGGCGGGTGCTACTGCCCCCTGGTGGAAAAATAGAAAACTGCAGCGCTTTAACCTCACGACTGTTCTTTCCACAGGCGAACCTGTTGTTCATGAATCTCGCCACGAGGAGGCGCACTAACACAACAGACCACTCTTTCAATAGACACAAGGTAAATAAAAACAATGTAATACATGTGATTTGTCTGAGAGTACTGATATGTCAAAGTTTAAATGGTATCAGAATAATTAAATGAAAAGCCACTTTTTATGTTATTTAGAATTAAATTGAGACTAAGCAAATTCACGAATTTCAACTGAGAAAGTAAAATATGTTGTATTTTAATTCTAGTTTGAGAAAGTTTTAAAAATACAATAAAAATAAAATCATATAACATCGGTTTGTAGTTTATAGAGCACTTAATTTATCAGTTTGAAAAGCTCATGATTTTTCATAGACAACATGTGGAGTATTTGCTAAAAAAAATTATATATATATATATATATATATATATATATATATATATATACACTTTTTTTTATTGAAATGTTGCTCAGCTTTGTAGCCGCTGGAGCAAAAAGTGTGACAACTAGCCCCGGTCACCTCATACCATGGTAATTTTTGCTGGTGTATTTACATAAATCATTAGTAGTATTATGTGACACTTGTTTGACAGTCACACAAGTATGATGGCATTTCAAAAACATAAAATATAAATAAAAAATAAATATATCAATAAATATATACATTTTAATGGTATCAAAATCATTTCATGAAAAACTACTTTTTATGTTATGTAGAATTAAATCAAGAGTAATCAATTTTTTCAACTGAGGTAGTAAAATATGTTGTATTTTAATTCTAATTTGAGAAATATTTAGAAGTATTTATAACCAATTTGTAAAATGCAATCTGTAGATATTTGCATTTATTTAAGTATGGCATTTCAAAATGTAAAATATAAATAAAAAATTAATATATTTAATATAATATCATATGGTGGAAGAACACATTTCCCAAAATGCTGTAATTTATTTCTTAGTCATGAAGCAGGTTTACAAGATTAAAAAAAAAAAACCGGAAGCAAAATGCCTGAGAAGTCATCTAGTGACATTTGTCTGTTTTTTTTTGGATTATCTTGGATTTCTTTCAATTGCAATTCAGTAAATTCATCTTCCTGTCATTTCATTCCAACATCCAGTAGCCATTTAAATTCAAATTCCAACTGCTGAATGTTCAAACCAAAAGTCAGATATCAGAAAGTGGCCAAATGCTTTACATGCCCAAACTGTTCCTTTTAAAATGACTCTTGTCAGGCCAAATGAAGTTTCCCATCAGAAGCTATAAGATAATGATTAATGGACTGTGTGTTCTGCAGACTGTGAAGCATCAGATCTTGGCTGCCATGAGCGAACTACCAGCTCCAAAGCCCAGCTGGTGCTGAACAGCCGCATGCTTTTCGAGTGGGCCATGAAATGTGGCTTGTTCTTATTTAATCCCCGTGTGTATGAAGGCTGCATACGCTGCCAGCGCACCACTTGAACCAAGCAGCCCCTAGACAGAGGGCAAGTCCTCCTTAACACACCCAGCTAGGTCAGCAGTCAGCCATTATTATCCCTCAGCCAGCCTAATCGCACCAGTGGGCATCCTGGCATCATGTTCCTGTTCAAACTGCTGCCAGAGCCAGGGCTCGTGAATATTACTTCTCAAATAAACAGGACTGAGAGTCTGCCCTCTACTGGTACGATGTGGAATTGTTATTCTTTCTTTCTCTCTTGGGATTTTAATATGTATAGCTTGGAGGTAAATACAGATGTACAAAGGTATATCTATAAATAATTAAAATATAATTTCATAATTGTCTAGAGAATAGGAGAAAAAAAGGACATAATCTAGATAAAATATAATAAACATACTGTATATATTATATTAGTTTGTGTGTGTGTGTGTGTGAGAGAGTGTGTGTGTGTGTGTGTGTGTGTGTGTGTGTGTGTATATATATATTATACACACCATTTAAGTGTTT